TCAGCCACTAATCAAGCAGTATTTTTTTTTTTTTTTGCAGGAACAGCTATAGTGCCTGACCAATGGACGGCGTATAGCAGCATCGGAGACATGTTAGAGGGGTATCAACATGAGACTGTTAACCACAGTCTGCACTTCATTGGTCCTGAGACCGGTACTTGCACAAACACCATTGAGTCTTTATGGCAAAATTCAAGGAGGGCTGTAAGTTACGGTATGGGACGGAAAGGGCGCTATTGAATTCGTATGTGGACGAATTTGTATAGAAAATGGTATATATAGACAATGAGCTATGCCGCTTTTGGTCACAAATAGCGGGAAATCACCCACCGCCTTGACGTTCTGTATGAAAGTGTGGGATTCATTCATTGGCTCGTGATCGGTCTGCCTTATGACAGTCTAATTTTTGGAAAGCCGTTTGTATGAGAGGCGTTAGGTTAAAAGTATAATTCAGGTCTTCGAACCTGGAAGAAAAGTGAAAAAAATACGTATAATTGTAACATCAGCCTAAATGCCCAGCTACGCGCAAAACAAACTTCTCTGCCGCTGATGAGAATGAACCACCTACCTTTGCTCTACGTCCCACAGCACATACCATTGCACCTGCAGCCACTTGTTTTCTCTAAGGCTATACACAAACTTTTTTCCTCCACGTTATGACATTAGGGTCTCTCTTCATGTTGCCACAAAAGGTCAACGTCTATTAATTCTCACTATTTTTTATAAATCTGCAACTGTAAAGCGTATCTTTCTAGCGCTAGAAGGGACTTCTACGTCCCTAATCGATGCTGACATGATCGACATGTCTCTTCGACTGCATGAGGCTGCGACAACAGCGATATCGCTCTAGTCGCAGCTTGTGAGAGGGAGCGGCTGCGATTCCTTAAGTGTATTTATGGGGCCGTCGATGTACAAGAGCTTTATAATTTCTAATTGCTTTAGCATTTTAGGTTAACCAACAGTTTGCTGATTTTAACGATGTCAACAAACTTAGTGTTTTAACACCGAAGATGCTCAATGAAGTTATTAAGTCTCAAATTGATATTGAAGAAGGAAAGAAGCGAAAGGAGAAGCCTTTGTTAGAAAACGTTAACGCTCAGAAAGAGGAATTAATTAAAGCCTTGTGCAAGGTTGACTATCCTGTAAGCAGCTTAGGACATTTGTTCTTTTTTCACCTCTAGATTTTATCTTGCGTGTTACCTTTATTGCGTGCTTTATTGACGACTCGACACCAATTTTTACAGATAAACTGTGTAAACTTAGAAGAATTTGAAAACTCTGTTTTCGCGGATATAAGTGAGTTTCGTAAACAACGATTAGAATAAACAAATGCAAAGGAATAAATAAGGTATTGGAACACATTGGGTTTCTGACTTTAAATTTTTTTTTCCAGAGGTTCTGCTCTAAGTCCTTTATTGTTCTGACAGAGTTTTCAGGTCTAGCTCTGTTTTTTTATGAGCCACTGACGCTGGATCTAAGATGTCAGTCACTACTAATAGTAATTTAAAGAAGTCACGCTAAATCCACTTGCAAACCGTGCCTGCCGAACGTATTTTTGAACATCTGATTTCTTTCTCTTTCTGTTCGAGAGATACTTATATACCAGATCTGTAGGTGACTGTTTGGGAAAATGAAGTCACTGGTGATTTGTCGTTTGCTGTTTTTGTGTATATCTCGTTAGATGTCTTTAATTTTGTGGTTTGAAACCGAAGATCACAGGTCTCTCTTGTAATTGTTATCGAGAATAAAAATTAATTTTATTGCTTTGCTATAGCTGACAATTGACTCTTTTGTAATTTTCACTCTTGACTGAGATCAAGACCATTGTAGTAACACGTGTAGAAATCGTTGGTCGCAATTTGTTCGTACTTCTTGCTAAAAAAGTTTCATTTCTAGTAGGGCTGGTTTTAAGAACTTCAGTTCTCTACAGTAGTTGTGGATATCTGTTCAACTTCTTTTCCATCCTTTTCTTGTGTTACTTATCATTTCCTGCCTCTTATCTGAGAAGTTGCATTCCTGAACGGGTAGCAGTTTAAAGTCAAAGCAAGGTTTCTTTTCGGTGCTGCTTTATGGCTTTTTTCTATTTACCTGATGATGGCTTACATCGCCAATAACGAAATCGTCGAAATCGTCAGATGCAACAAAACAGGATTGAAAATCAAATCTCAAAAATTGAGTAGTTTAAGCAACTTTGGAAAAAGAAATTTATTGAAGTAATCATCTTCTAAAGCGCAGCGGCATTTCGCTAGTAAACTTTTATTTTTGAAGTTTACCACATTTTGAAAGGAAAAAACAAGTCAAATACTAAAAACAGCAAAAGAATTCTCTGTGTTCTGCCAAAAAATTTTTTTTTACTGAACCGTCTGAAAACAATTAAGTGGTGGGTCTCCTAGATGCTCGACAGAATTAGAACTTCAAAACCTGAAAGATGAGCAGACACTCAGGTTGGTGACTGAGGAGAACTGAGTTGTTGGTAAAAAATATCTGGTTTTTGGAGAAGGGCAAAAGTTTAGTTACAAAAGAATTAGCAATAGTAATGACAAGGAGAGAAAAGTTTGGAACCAATTTTGAGATTCAATACATCTTTTATTGTCGAGAAAAATTTTTATTGAAGAGACTTTACAGAAGATTGGGGCGAGATTTTGTGTCAGGTGGCATAAGGGAGTTTGACTTTTTTTTTTATAATAAGATAATCAATATGAAAAGAAAGGTCGTTTTGGGCATTATTTTAGAATTACCGAATGCTTTCAGCTAATTAGAGCTAGTCTCTTGTTGTTGACTTCAAATCTTTAAAAGGTTATGTTTTTGCTTGGTGTTTGTAAAAGAAAAATTAAAAATATTCCCATATTATAGAAACCAAAAAAGGGTGAAATCATCAGTTTTGTTAGAATAGCCTATTTTTTACAACTATTCTGCGTAATACAGTTTGACCGTGACGTCTGACCGTCTACAATGTCTGTTTGTGCTTTACCAGTCGTTGATTAGATCCTATATTTTTTATCTGAACTCTGTTCTAGCCCTTTTAACAGCCTTTATTTATAATTGTTTTGATCCCACATCTCCAAAAACTTTATTTAAGGCAGAGGAAAAACTAGTTATAATAATTCAAATAATTCTTTTGTCTTCGGAAATAGACATTCTAAGATACAGAAATATAGAAATACTTCTTCAGTATCGTTCCTTTTCTTATTTCCTTACAACTTTTAGAAATCCTAATCTTTTTGCTAACTAAGCAGTTTACGAAGTGAATTAGCAGTCTGGCTATCAACCACTAAATTATGCTTAAACTTTTCTTAATTAAATATTTGACTGTTGTCCGAAATGCTACTCTTTGGAAAACTTGAACGAAAATGATACCCAAATAGGAGAATTTCATTGCCAGCTTGTAAACAAATATAAAGTGGTAGCAAACAGTGCTCCATGCACATCGTACGTATTACAAAGCCACTAACCAGCGTAGGTTTTCAGTTCTGTATCTGAAATACGCACTCTAACGTCTTTCAAAAACATTAACCCACATCCGTAGAACTTGGTCAATGGCAGATCTCGAGCAGAGGACAAAGCGCCATTTGCCTTGCTCTCTGAAACCAACTTCGTAATTTATTTTTCATCGCCTTTGGCCTCTTTTGAGCTAACCCCTGTTTTACGAGAATCTCATTGACTACTCTTCAGTCGGGGGTCGCTTTTACAAAAATTCTTCAACACACTTAGTTCTGAAGGGATAATTGCTGGGAAGATTCAGAAGAAACTCGAATAAAGCAATTGCAGCCGCAGCCTTAGTTTTGAGACCACTACCTGGACGAAGAGGCAGAGTGAACATTGCATAGTTTTTGGAAAATGTACCTTTTAACTTAAGTAAAAATTTCAAATCTTATAGTTATGATAGATTTTGACAAACAAACGAGGTTTTGAATATAGTTTTGAGACTGTAGGAGTTACTTGGCTACTTTATTTGTGGTTTTTTAGAAGCATGGCTCGCTGCATGTTACCTCTAAAATAAAGTTTTGTAATTTTAAACAGATTTTTGCGGCACTGATCAAATAATTTTCTGTTCTAATGCCTATGGCTACATTGATCTCCAACCCTTCTGTTTGACTTTTGCTGCAGATTTATATAATTCCAATTCATAAAGAAGCAGTGGACCTTCTGTAGATCAAAGACAAAAAAAACGGGAATGACGACAACTGGTTGATAAGTCTAAACTACTACTGATCTTTATTTTGCAAGCAGGAAAGTCTTCCAACACATGTCTGCTTCAATCCACCTATAGGTGCTTGAGGTACGTGTTTGACCTCCTAGACAACGAGACTATAAGCAGCAGTTGATGACGTGGCCTAATAGTTAACCAGCCGCAAGGCAATTAAAAAAAACTTTGTGTTTATCTATGAGTTCCTGAAAGTTAAAGTTTACTGAGCTTATTTTCTGATATTTATAAAGTTTTGGTTTCCAGAAAAATCTTTAGCCCTATAATATTTCGCACTTATGAGCTTCCTTGGGTTTCATGGACGAGTTGTTATAGTCACTGGAGCAGGTCGTGGTATTGGATACTGTTATGCCAAGGAATTTGCGAAACGTGGAGCAACAGTTATAGGTGTGTTCTTCCGTCTATAAATTATAAATAAACGCCGTTTTTGTTTTTAAACGGTAACATTATTTGCTCGTGAGAAGTAGAAGTCAATTGATTGCAATGCGTCGTATTTTTTTTGAGCAAGTAAATGCTGTTCGTGTTATCACTTCTAACAAAGTGTGGAAACGAACTAAACTTTACCAGAATTGTCCTTACAAATCAAAAACGATGACTCATTTTTTGTTGTAACTCTGATATATTTCTAACAGATGTTTAGTAAATGACGTTGACAAACAAAGTGCATATGGGAATTCAGTTGTTTCACCAGCCGAACTGGTGAGTTTGATTATCCAGTTATTTTGAAAAATTGAGATATACATATCACTTCTGCGGTAGACGCGCCTTTTTTGGTTATTCTTCAGGTGGCGAACGAAATCCGTGAAAGCGGGGGAAAAGCAGTTGCTAATTTTGATAACGTTGAGGATGGCAAACGTATAATTCAGAAGGTGGTTTCTGAATTTGGCAAAGTTGGTAAGAGAAATCTGTCGATTTTTCCGCTATGAAATACAGCGACACAGAAGCTAAGCTAAGCAATCCATTCGATTGCTTATTGCTGCTGAGTGATATCTTTTTCAGACGTTGTAGTTAACAACGCTGGTTTTCTGCGTGACAAGTCGTTTAAAAATATGTCGGAGCAAGAATGGGGTAAAAATTTTTTTGCTGCGGTGTCATCACCGTCAGGACTTTATTAGAGAGCCATCGTGATAGTGAGAAAACCAATAAATAATTTTCTCCTTCTAGTTCAATATAGCGTGAATGAGCTAAATTTTAGAGGCCGTCTATACGGTACATTTGAAAAGTGCTTACAAATTATCTAAAGCAGTCTGGCCGCACTTCATCACCCGGAAATTTGGTAGATTAATTTTTGTTTCTTCTAATTCGGGCATTTACGGGAACTTTGGGCAAGCCAATTATGCAGCTGGTACATCTTTTTAAAATTCAATTAAATTATTGCTAGTATTTTTGCTCCCCTTTTTCAGCAGAATCAAAGTTTTCTTGATGCCTCGTTTTTTGAAAAGGACTGTAATTTTTAGCAAAATGTGGCTTGCTTGGATTTTCAAAGACGTTATCTGCAGAAGGAGCAAAGTATAATATTAATTCTAACGTAATTGTCCCAACAGCAGTTTCACGTATGACGAAAGATGTTTTCCCTGAACGCTACTTAAGCTACATGAATCCAGAGTTGGTTGCGCCAATGGTCGTGTACTTGGCCCACGAAAATTGCCGGGAAACAGGAAAAATATATGAGGCAGCAGGAGGTTGGTTTGGACAAGGTGCGTTTTTTGTTACGCCAGAATTCACGACATTACTGTCACTTACTCGCTGCTGCTTTATGGAAACTTGTTTGTTTCCCGCTTCAAAATGTTAGGATTTTCTATGGAGTTCGGTTATAAGTGGGAACATGTTTTAGTTCAGTTCTTTCGTTCAAAAGGCAAATTCTTGCGTGGTGCGACAGCAGAAGATGGTAGGTGTTTTAACTTATAATTTCAGATCCAGCTGTATAAGAAGTTGTTAAAGTTTTCTCGAAATATATTTTCTCAGCTGTACTTTTTTTTTGGACTGAATTTTTTGCTTACAGTAAGAAATCATATCAAGGAAATTCAAGATATGGCTGGAGCGAGACATTTTGAATCTCTACAGGGTGAGATAAAACTTCAGGATAAACAAGGACAATTTTATATTTCTCCAACTATACAGTACTGTTCTTGATCTTCTTAATAAAATATTCACTCGTTCTTGTTCACTAGCGTAAATAATCCAACTTTTCAGAAGTCATGGAGCACTTGGCTGACTCTATCAAACCTAAGATGGTAATTTTCTTTCATGTTTTTGTGACATTTTTGTCAAGAATTTTTATCATTGTTTTCAAGCCCTTCTATGGTCTTCAGACACTTCCACTAGAAAGCAATAAAAGTCAAACGGAGGGCGAAATGGACCAATCAAAAAAAAGGAAATCAGGGACGAAGAAGAAAACTTAGTTTCAGAAGCGTCTAAACGATTTCAAGTTCGTGGGTCATTACGGAAGCTGTGCGATTATATTATGCAACGCTCAAACATGCTGAAGTGTTACTGTCTTCTGCTAATGTTTAGCTGATCAAAGTTTTACTTTTAAGGATGACATTATTGGGCACTTAGATTGTAGTCAATAAACTGGATGAAGAATGTACCTTCAATCAGATCTGTTTATCAATTAAAATTTATTCGTGGTGAATATTTAAGGAACATCTGATTTTTATACTTTACCTTGTAAATTTTTATCTGTTTTAATCATATAAGTGAATACAAAATTATTTGATTTGTTAACTAAGTTTTACGTTGAAAAGAGAATGCTATATTTTGGTCGATTAAATAAATCTCAAAGTTGCTAATAAAGGTAATATTTTAGCAGTTGTAAGTTTCTGCAATTGTATTTACATGGTTGGTCCAGTATATTTAATGTCTCCTGTCTTATCTGGTCAGAAGAAAGCTGAAGGGTTCAAAAAAGAGTGAAATCTGATTGATTAAAAAACATACATGATTTGATGATTTCTGCGATGTGGAGAAAGGTTTCTGCGATGTGGAGAAAGGAGAAACTCCTAAACAATTTTCGATCCCTTATGACCTTCTTTTGA